AGAAATTTATACAAGAATACTCAGAATCTTTATACATAAAAGCCAAAATCTAGAGATAGCCCAGAAGTCCATCAAAAACTAATGGATACACAAACTGAGGTATATTTTAACAATGGATACTACTCAACAACAAAAAGTAATGAGCTACTGGTAAGAGGATGAATGAACATGGATATTAAAAATATTAAGATAGGTGCAAGAAAACAAAAACAAAGGGTACACAATGTATGATTCCAATTATATAAAGTTCTAGAACAGGCAAAACTTATCTATGACTTTTTAAAAATTAGAACAATTGCCTGATGTGCCAAGGGATTGATCAGGAAGGAGCAGGGGAGAACTCTCTGAGGTGTGGATAATGCTCTACATCTTGATAGGGATATAAGCTACACAGGAGAAGTCACCTGTCAAAATTCATTTAAAACTTGTACATTTCACTATTTGCAAATCTTACCCAAAACACACACACACACACACACACACACACACACACACACACACACACAAATATTGAATTCCAGTTCACAGTACTTAAGTGTTTAGGGGTAAAGTATTCTAAATAATTCTCCAACATTTTAAATAACTTTTATTTGATAATTTTTTTAAAAAAATTTTTAACATTTTTACTTATTCTTGAGAGACAGAGCATGAGTATGTGAGGGGCAGAGAGAAGGGGAAGACACAGAATCCGAAGCAGGCTCCAGGCTCTGAGCTGTCAGCACAGACCCAGACACAAGGCTCAAACTCACGAACCATGAGATCATGAGCTGAGATAAAGTCAGATGCTTAACCGACTGAGCCACCCAGACGCCCCTTATAATCTTTTAACAATATATCTTTTTTAAGGTTATTTATTTTGAGAGAGGAAGAGAGAGAGGGAGGGAGCACAAGTATGAGTGAGTGTGGGAGGGGGAGAGAGAGAGAGAGAGAGAATCCCAAGTAGGTGCAGGGCTATCAGCACAGAGAGCTCTACATGGGGCTCAATCTCATGCACTGTGAGATCATGACCTGAACTAAAGAGTTAGGACACTTAAACAAGTGAGCCACCCAGGCATCCCATCATTTTATTTTTAAAAATGAATTGACGAATGGATGGATAGATACATGATAAAGCAAATATAGCAAAACAATAATCACAGAATTTAGGTGGTAGGCATATGAAGGTTTACTGCAAAATGCTTTTAACTTTTTCTATTTGAAGAGTTTCTTAATGTTTTTAATGAGGTGAATTCACACATAATTTTAAGACATGAAAGATCTAACAAAGTATAAGTCTAATGATAGATCTCTTTTAATTTAAATTTTGGGGGTTAACTTTGGGTGATATTTTTATTTTATTTGGCTTTCCACTACTTACAAAACAACTGAAAACTAAAAATAATATAAATTCAAATTATACCTACTAGTTTTAATCAATTTAAAAGATATATAAAAATATACGGAATCAATTTCTGAAAATCATATGCAAACATTTAATATGACTGTTAACATTTAATTAGATTGTATATCTTAAGAATTTACTTTTTTGTATTAAGTATTACAACCATATCTCATCTATTTTTAAGTAATGACAATCAAATTCACCATCAAATACTTAATTGACTTTGAGAATTTGTGGATCTTAACATCTGAAAAATATAAATATATTATATTTAGACATAGTACATTTAGGATCTACTATAAACACAATTATTTAAATAAATTTATTTCAATTGTGCCCCATCAAAAATTTTTGTCTCAGTAGTACTGAATTCTTTGTCTTATGGCACATAAAAAGAGCACACAAACCAGTACAATGTATTATCTTGTATTTAAGAGTATGTATTAACAAAACATTTAACCGCCATCATCTACAGTATATATTAAATACAATGTGTCACACTCTAAATTATTTACATGTCTAATGAAAATTTGACATTACTCTAAAAGAAGGCACATGGAAAATAATTCATAGTCTAAACATTTTCACATAAGTAAAGATGCAACAGGGTAGAGTGAAATCTTTCAATAATGAAATAACACTGAGTCAATGTCTCATACAAAAAAAACAAAGTACTTAATTTGAAAATTTTAAGAAATCTAATGACATTTTTAGAAATGAAAGAGCTTTAACTTTTTCAGGATGCCATTGTAAATCATACCTAGTTTAGAAAAATCAAGTTGTAAAAGTAACAATGTGTCATTTAAATTCATGTAGATAAGAAAAGATAGGAAGGTGGCAAAAATAAACAATCTGCTATCCAAATTACGAATACACTCAATGAAAGAATATTTTGACTTAGCTTATTTTTCAAATTGAATATGCTTTTACAAAATCAAGTCTACATTTTTAAAATAAAATCACTCTTACCTATATTTTGTAGGTAAAGTTCATGGCACTTAAATTTTTGCAAAATATAATTAACCAAGATTGGCTCAGAAAAATGCTGTAGTAAACTCACTGCAATGAGTACAATTCTGGCATTTAAACATATGTCAAAATAAAGTTTTTTATTCTACACAGTCCCTAAAAGCTAAGGAGTCTGTCACCTGACACAACGAAAGAAACAACAATCTTGAACAATGCTGAAGGAAAATATGACTGTAGAAAGACTATTATGGGCAGCACAAAAACTGTCAAGGGCAACTGTTACCTTCCACAGTGATTTTGGAACCTAACCACACACAAAAATAAATGTGTGTTGCACTTTTTTGAACACAAACTCTCCTAGAAAACATCTCACGGATTTAAAGTTTCACAGAGCAGAGTTTAGGAAACTGATTTAGATGCACAAAGTCAACATTCAAATTGAACATTAACATCAGCTCTGAGTAGCAGCATGCTAATATTATAATATGAATTATATTACACATGGTAATATGCTTTCAATAACTGCAAAAAGTTAAAACTGACTACTTCAAGGATGTATTTACTAAAATTATATTGTAAAAACATTAAATTAGTATTTTAAGATTCTAATCTCTTGAGTCCAGTTTAGACTTAAAGAAAAACCACGGCACAGATTAAAGATGAAAGTATTGAAAAGATATATAGTATACATGCAAGTCATTTTTATAATAAAATATTTAACTCTTATAGCAGACATAAAATGCCAATGAAATTAAGCTATCAACAAGCTAAAATAGTACCAGGAGAGTTTTTTCTATTTTATTTCAATAGCCATAACCTAAATTCTGGATTTAATTTCCTCTCACTAAATGCCCACCCCAGAAATGCTATTATAACACTAACTCAGATATCTAATTTATATCCCTCTAATTAAAAGCATTCAATAACTACCCATTGTACATTCAACTGCGACTGTTTAAAAATAGCATTCAGTGTCATCCATAATTTGGCACCAATCAACTTCCAAACTAATGTCCCTCAATTCACCTTCACTTCTTCAACAAAATTGAGAATCTAGTATGATGTAGGCACCAAGCTATATTCCGAATACTGTTCTAGTGGTTCTCAAACTTTAGCTTCCATCAGAATCTCTAGAGGGTTTATAAAACAGATTGTGGACTTCACCTCCAGAGTTTCTGATTCAAAAGGAAATGGATTTAGATCTGTAACAAAGTTCTCAAGTGGTGGTGATGTTGCTGGTCAGCTCTATTCTTGGTGAACCATTACTCTACTCCAAAGGCAACAAACTGAAGTCCAGTGGTCGAATGAGGCCCACTCACATGTTTTGTCTGTATAGTTTTTAAAACATTTTGAATTACTTGCAAACATTTTTAAGTTGAAAATTCTCACATAATAATGCATATTTCTGGATTACTGCACGTAAAAATTTTGCTCTAGCTAAATAGTAGCTACTCATTTAATCCCAGTCCAGGTAACCAAATCCTAATTGGCCCTCACCTGGCCTACCACTGTGCCTGTATTCCCTCATTCACTTCTCCCCATTCTCTAAGCCTTTTTCCATGTCGCTCACTCTGACTTAAACATCCCTTTTCCACTATACTGAAATTCCACCTACCCATTTCTAAAGCTTGGCTTAAAAACTCTTCCTCAACAAAGCACCAGCAAAAATATAAATATTAAAGATTTCACTTAAATTTAATGTGTGCTTTAAGAATTGAGATTTATTTCTGCAAATACTAAAATAGCAATATTTACAATGATATATATTAAAACGTAACTATTTTTTTGCTATTTCTATGTAAAGTTTTAATTTTAACTTTTTTACTGTGATATTTACTGTGAAATAAATCTTTTTCAGAGTAAGATATTAAAAATGAATTAAGACTTTAAATCTTATAGCCAAGATATATGAAAAGTCCAAGAGAAGATCTTAGTTTGCTGGACAAAAAAGGGAAGAAGGCTAGGGGTAACTGATACAAGTCCCCTGATTTCATAACCTATGAATCTTTAAAAGCAATTTTAAGGAAATAAACACTTCTATAATTTTTTCATATGGAAGATATTTTAGTGGATGTTTACTTCTATGGAATAGCAGGGGAAACAGAGAAACAAAACTGAGTGCTGGTCCTTGCTCCACCATAAACAGCTTTGTTACATCAAGCCACTGAGTTCTCCAATGGACCTCAGTTTTAGATCTCAAAACTGAAGGTGGAAAAAGTGATTTCCAAATACCCTCCCACTCTAAAACCCAATCTCTTCTTCAAAAATTAGGAAAGCATACAAATCAATGTCATACATACAAGCTTCTCTTATCAGGCTAGTATTGCTTCCAAGACTGACTTAAAAACCTTGAACTACGGCTTTCAAAACTCTAATTTAAAATGCTGAAGACTCAGAACTTTAAAAGACGATGTTTGTATATCCATTTTCATAGGTTCTATTTTAATGATCAAAATAAGACATCTTTTGTAAGGCCATCAATTAAACTTCTTAGAAAAAAACTGAAGACAAAAATATATAACCAGGCCAACCAATGCACACATTTTGATGTATCTCAAAAGAAAATTAAATAATTGGATAACGTAAAAAAAAAAAAAGGTTTTTTCACAACTGAGACTAATAACACTTTTTAAGAGTATGTATTCTGCTTAGGATATTCCCAAATGAAAGTAATTTGGCCAAAATTAAACTTCTCAAATTGCAAGATTGAAAAAAAATATCAGAGACTATTATATTCAGGCAGATCATGCCTTAAGCGAACTGCTTTCAGCTTCTCCACTTCAATTTTTGCTCTTAGCAGCTCTTCCTCTAGCTGCTGCCTTCTTTTCAATCCATCCCTCTTCTCCTGAACATACAATCCAAAATTTTTTTGATTTTCTAAAATTATCTGATGCTCCTCTTTCAGCATTTGCAGAATCTGAGGGTCATACCCTAATTGTGACCTAAAGTGTTCTCCACGGTCATGTCGAAAAAAATCATCTCTCCTTGGGATAGAAGATGGAGACGATGTCATTCTCATGTCAACAGAGGAAAGTGACGGCGATAAAGATCTCTCCATAACATGTACTAATTCATGGTCTTCTCTTTGCTCTAAAATATCACTCTGTTGAGAATTTAAAACCAGTGGAGGAGGGGGCTTAATGTCTTCTTCTTGCTTCACCTCCACTGTAATAGCAACTGGATGGTGATCCAACATTACCTGTAGTGAACTCGTACCAGCCTGTGCTTCCTCATCCAAGTTTGCACTACAGCACACAAAAAAGCATTAAATGTAAATCAAATGAAGACAAGAGCATATTTATAGCATCATTTCACATTTAGTATATATCAAATTGTCAAGCTTTAGAGCTATAAAGAAATTTGTGAAACAACAAAAAAAATGTAATCCTTGAAATTTAAAGTGACTAAGTTTAAAATTTCAGTAATATATACATATAGCTCTCACCACATTCTTAAACATTAGAATTGAGCTCTTAAAAGGACAAAAAATTACAATTACTACCCAAAGTCAACAAGGCAAATAAAAAAGAAAGGCCTTTCTTAATGCTCTCAAAGAGATACCACATGTTCCCACAAGCCTGATGTTCTTAAATGATATAAAGGGACATTACTTGCACTTTGGGCCTTGCTATTCCCACACCTTAGCCCTACACCCCCTGCACTTTTGCTCTCCCGGGCTGATCTAAAAATCACCAAGGTCCATGACTTCTAGGATAGTAGAAGGCCACCTATAGGAGGTACTGATTTCTGTATCTGTCCAAAAAAAAACAAAAAAATCAAGTGTTTGTATGCTTTGGGTATGCCCAACTATCAGAATGTTATCCTAACTATACAATTTTAGATACCATGGTGTTTATCCTTTACCTATCCTAAATCACATAAGTCCATTGGCATTTCAGACTTTCAACCATTGGTCAGGTAAAGTTCACAGGAAAGGGTTCATATCCACTACTGTATCGCCAGCATAGAGCATGATATTGTACCTGGACGGCAGTAGGTACTTATCACATGTTGAATGATTAAACAAAGGTTTTTTTAATGAAATATTTTTAAATGGCTTATATATTATATACTGAAAGACTGTTAAATTTACATGTATTTCCAAATATACATTTCAGTAAGAGAAAACTAGTTTAGCATAATTAAAACTTTGACATAACAATATTTGTTATGATATAAAACACAATGTATCTTAAAATTCTACTTTTTAAAAAACCGATTTCATGAATAACATGAAACTACTGATTAGGAATATATAATTTTGTTTCTTGGCTTTTATTTAATTTATGCTTCTGTCTAACTTAAAAATAAGTTATAGAGAGGAAAGAGATTATTGGAACATTAATGAAAAAACACTACATTCAACATTATTTAGAGAACATTTTCCAAATGATAAATAAGTAACATAGTTAAGAACGCATTCTACATGGATGATTAAAATGCTGGAATAAATTCAAGCAGAACATGAGGAACAAAATTAAATCATCCCATATGTCACTTACTAATGAAATTAAATTGCCAGAAATATCAGATATTTATGATATGAATACAAATGAAATAAGATACAGTTTGTTATGAAAAATCTATTTGTAGATTACATAAATTCCTTAACTTTAATTCTTTTTGTAATCTTACGATTTTCAAAAGTAAAACAATACAATATCAATGTAATTCAAAGTAGTAAGTCTTCTCTTCATTAACTCTCTAAATCCTAGCAAGGAGGAAGGTTAAAACTACAGACAAAAATGAAACTTTTAAAAACCCACATAATTGCTATTCCAAATTAGTCTGTATAAAGGAGTATAAGAATCACTACTGTATATAGACATTACATTCCCATGTAAATTTTAAAATGCTTTTATCTGAAATACTCCATTTTCACTGAAACATTACAAGTAAGCATAACAAGGTAGAAATTAAAAAATGTTTGAGAGAAGGTCACAAAAAATTAGACAGAAGGACTTCTAAAATTTATGAATTTTGAAGGTCAAATAGATCGCAAAAACACAAAATATAACCTGACATTAGAGTGAAGTAAAACTGAAGACATATATCAATGTGTTATAAAGGTAGCCTTAGAAAATAGGAATATATCTTTATTTACTATGTTAAATATAAGCAGTAGTATTTTCCTTATTACAAACAGGAGAGTTTGGTGAGATTAACAGGCGTATTTTATACAGAAGCATAATTAAGATTATAGATTATAAACTGAGAATTATGAATATTCAAGATGATGTCAATCAAATACATAAAAGCACATTAAATATACAAATGTTAAATAAAAATGCTAATACAGAGAAAATGGCAATGTGCACACTAACACAAGCATTTAAATGGCTTATTCCTAATAATTAAATTCTTCTCTTTAAATTATGAAAAGTTGTTCTTGTTTAAACAGTGGGTTTTGTAATATATAAACTAATGAACTCATTTATCAGAGCAATGTTGTTATCCCAAAAGATTGACTGTGAATATGTAAATAAATCCTTGTGTATTACTTCTCTTCTATACCCACTGTAATTTTAAAATACACAACGAATTAAAACTACAGTTTCTATATGTAGTTTTCAAATGATAAAAGCCTATACTTAATACCTAAAAGGTAGTTTTATACCTGTAATGCGAAAGCCAATTTTCTCTATGGTTTGGGGAAGAGAAGAATTTTTAGTAAGTAGTACAGTATAAAAGTCTTACTGTGGAGTTTTTTGGACACTCAGCAAATTAGGATTTAATCATTTCTCACCACAGAGAACATTTTAAGCACTGATGAATTAATAAAATGAGTATCCAAGTTCCAGATTACCCTTGATTTTTTTTTTTTTACTATGTTATCTACTAGATATAAGCATTATACGGTAAGAAGCTGGTCTCAAAAAAATTACCCTAGTAAATTATAAAAATAACAAATGAATTTGGCTATAAAGTTTTTCTCCCGTTTCTCTCCTAACTTCAAAAGGATTTCATAGGTAATCAATAATTTAGCTTATATAATGACTCTTCCACCAATAAGAAAGCACTGTAAACCTTTGTTTGAAATGTCCCTCAACTCACAAGTTTACAATTTGTTTAAATAACCCTAAATGGTCCAGAAGAATGCAGCTGCCATTTTTAGCTTTTGTCAGGGGTTAAAATTTGAATTAGTAATAAGATAACAGTTTTGAAGATTCCCAGTTATTCCCAGACCATAAATTTAACCAAAAACTGTTTCTAACCCTTTAAGAACTTAGTTGCTTATTCATATATTAAAATTCATAGTTTGCATCTTTGCAAAATAGTAGAGTTTAACCTTCTTTCCTATATGACTCAAGATCAAAGTGAAACTATACCATTGATGAACAAAAACAACAAAAACTTTTAATTTTATTAAGTAATCTGAATCTCTACTTAGCCATCAACTCCTTTCCTTGTATTCACCTTTTTTTATTTTGAATATGTTGGAAAATAAGCTGTCTTAATATATACAATCATGCTATTAATAAATTTACTTAAGTTTTGATTTTAGCTTTTTAGTTCAATTAATATTCACTAAGTGTAGACAGTAAAATTCATTAAAAAACCAGGATTCTTCAATTTCTCCTGAAACTGCTAACTTTATATAAAATTGAAAATTCCAATTAAATATAATCTTAAATAAGAAAAAGATATCTCTCAGCAGCTAATTAGCAATTTAAATTTAAAGCTTAAAAAGTTTATAAGGTTATGTTATAAATTTTATCCCATTTATTTCTCCCTAACCTTTACTTTTAGAAACTATAGAGAGAAGGAAGGGGGAGGGGAAGACAATAAAAAGTGGCTTAAATCAAATGCAGCAGAAAAATTCCTTATAGCCTCACTTTTCTTTTTTAAGAAAGCAAAACAAAGACACTATTCATTGCTCCCGTAGTGGGGATGCTTACTATGCATATCTCTATCACAACTAAGCCAGAGCCCAATAGATAGGAGGCGCCATAATTTTCCACAAGAAAATAAAATAAAGCTTACCTTTGTATGTGGTTCCTGTCTCTTAACAGGCAAAAACTGGAAATCTGGGGAATCATCTCCATAACTTTCTTGGTTGGCTCAGAAATATTGCTTTTAAAATCTGATTGGGTCTCTTTTTGCTGCAATAGCTCCTGTTTGGCATATTCTTTGAGCCTTTTGTAAAGGGTGCGTAGGCCCTGGGCTGTTCGAGGAGGGCGATCTACTCCAATTGCATTATAGTTTACTGCTATGATATCCCAACATCTATTCTTTTCCACTATTACTGAATGTTTATTAGTGTGTTCTTCGAGAATTTTAACATATGGCTTCACAAGCTTTAGCAAATCAAGCTTTTCAGATAAGGTAAAATTGGAAGACCTAGCCTTTCCTACCATTGTTCTTTTCAAATTAAGTAGGCAGTTTCTGAAACCACCATGCAGCCTTCAGCTCTGCTCAGCTCTTTTCACAAACAGAAAAAGATCAGGCTTAACTAGGCTAGCCTCATTTAGGCCCACGCCTACAGGGGAGGGTTTATTAAAATTCCTCCAGCTTAAGCTGACGCAGGTTCAGGAAATCTGCTTAAGCCAAGCCTGACCTACATAAAGCTTCTCACTGAAGAAGACAGGAAGGCACAAGCAAAACACACTTGTGTATAAAGAGAACAGCTCGAGACAGGATTTAATACACAAAGGTCTAGAGATAAACATGGAACACAGCTAAAAATTAGCTAATTTAGTGAGAATATCGAATTTCCACACATGTATGCCTAGCTGATAGACTGAAACTGCATTGCAGTACCACTTTAATAGAAACAAAAGAGGAACTGTTTTGTGCTATTTGTTTACAAATCCAGTAGATAGGGAAATGAAAAACTAAAGATATGAGTGATGAATGTAGTGATTCCTAACAGAGCCCCTAATCACTGTTTTCTGAGCTGCTGCTCTCTCTGACAAAATCTGCATAATGCTGGTCCTGCTGTCAATCAGGAATTGCATATCCTCTAGCTAGTTAGGTTACACCCAGACTCAGACTTCACAGTAAAGCTAAGCTTCTCCTTCATTTTACAGTCTACAGTAGCCACTACACTTTTTTCAGTTACTTATGAAAAAATTTTTGAACATTGAATCTAAAAAGCACGTAAAAATTATGCTTTTACAGCAATGGATTATTCTAGCTGTAACATATGTGAATATGCTAGCCTGCTTTATTGTGTGTAAAAAACACCATTCACAGTGAGAACAGAAGAATCATGCCTTAAGACTGCACACAACAAAATGGCATTTACTATTATTACAGAGTAGGATTTTTATTCAGTTATATTCATATAATTTGGACTATTTAAAAACGAGACACCAGGAGGCACCTGGGTGGCTCAGACGATTAAGTGTCTGACTAGATTTAATTTCGGTTCAGGTCATGATCTCACGTTTCATAGGATCAAGCCCCAGGGTCAGGCTCTGCACTGGAAGTTCAGAGCCTGCTTGGGATTCTCTCTCTTCCTCTCTCTCTGTCCCTCCCCCACCTGCTTATCTCTCTCTTTCCCTCTCAAAATAAACATTTAAAGAGAGAGAGAGAGAGAGAGAGAGATACCAGGCTCAAAATAGAGTCACTTATGCTAAGTCCCATGTCACCTAATTGCAACTTGGCTCTTCCAAGAATGGAATTTGAAGCCAGTCAATCAAGAACCATGTGATCAGCACTAGTGAGGCAATCTGCCTGACCACCCCTGCCAGCCACTTAAGGAAAACGAACAGTCATCTCCACTTTTTGCTATGATAATTTCCTTGTTCGCACTCACTTCTGCCTATGAAAGTCATTCATTTTGTATAGTTCCTCAGAGCTCCTTTCTATCTGTTAAATGGTATGCTGCCCAATTCATAGATCACTGAATAATGCCAGTAAGATCTTCAAAACTTACTCAGTTGAATTTTGTTTTTTAACAAAAGTAAACAACTAGTTTAGCCATTTGCAAGACCACCAGGTTAAGAGTTTAGAATGTACTTTCTAATCCCTGTCTGAAAACATAATAAATGTATGCACAACAATATTTAACAATGTAACATAAACTAGGTAAAAAAAAAAAAAAAAAAGCCTATTTTCCCCTCATATACAAGTATAGGGGCTAAGGGCAGGCCACCCTAAAAATGGGCCACTTTGGATGAAGATTATTTTGACTTAAAAGGAATCAAAACTCAGCAGATTCAGGAAAACCTCTTAACCTCCCCCTCAACTGCCTAAATTTACATTGAAAGGGAGAACCTGTACCAAGAAGAAAAGCTACTAACAGATTGCTCCTTACTTAAGAAAGGTACCCAAAGTAATGGGGCAACCTTTGTTTTCTATACATATACTCTTACCTTCCTGCTAAAGGTCTTCCTCCCCTTTGTACCCCCTCCTTTGCTCAGGATGTTATAAAAGCCAAGTTCCCGGTCTTTGAAATCTCACATCTGTTTGGATTCCTCATATGCGTAAAACTCAATTTGATTCTCTCCTACTAATCTATCTCATGTCAATTTAATTCTTAGTCCAGTGAAAAAGACCTAAAGGACAGAAGATGCAAACTGAAAACTGACCCACCCAAACAACCTGACCAAAGGTACTCAAAGGAAACCAAGAACACAGGATATATATATGCTGTCTTTAGATAGTGTTAATTTTCGAAGAAATAACTGGTGATGTATTAAAAAATGAAATGCTGGGGCACCTGGGTGGCTCAGTCGGTTAAGTGTCTGACTTCAGCTGAGGTCATGATCTCACGATTTTTTTTTAATGTTTTATTTCTTTCTGAGAGAGAGAGAGAGACAGACAGCATGAGCAGGGGAGGGTCAGAGAGAGAGGGAGACACAGAATCTGAAACGGGCTCCAGGCTCCGAGCTGGTGGTCAGCACAGAGCCTGACACAGGGTTCGAACCCACGAACTGTGCATGATCTTACGATTCTTGAGTTCAAGCCCTGCACTGGACTCCCTGCTGTCAGCACAGAGCCCTCTCCAGATTCTGTTACCTCTCTGCCCTTTCTCCGCTCACGCTCTCTCTCAAAAATAAACATTAAAATTTTTTAATAAAAAATGAAATACTAATAAAATATGAAAAGCCAATAAATCTCATAAAATTATCAAAAATGTATATTAAAAATGATTTTCATCATCATTTTTGCCATAAGACTGGCAAAATTCTTAAAGATTGAAAATGTCAAGTAGGTGAGGGTGCAGGGCAAAGGGTTCTCTCTGGCAGTACTCATGGGGGTGTAAAACAGCATTCTGGATGGCGGTCTGAGAGCATTAATATTTCACATGTGTAAAACCTTCTAAAATTACAGTAATTTTACTTCTCGGAATCTAACTTAGGAAAATATTCAAATACAGGAAAGAATAAACCATTCCCTGTAGTAGTATAGTGCTGGAAGCAATCTAAGAGCATATCAGGTAAGGACAATTAAAATCACTAAAACAGGGGCACCTGGTGGCACATTGGGCTAAGCATACAACTCTTGATTAAGGCTCAGGTCATGATCTCACAGTTCATGGGTTTAAAGCCCTCATTAGGTTTTGTGTCTGACAGCATGGAGCCTACTGGGAATTCTCTCTCTGCCCCTCCCTACCCCCCCTTCAAAATAAATAAAATTTTAAAAACATTTTTTTATCACTAGAATACATCCATAACTCTAGGCAGCACTAAAATAAAAGAGGCAAATGTTTATGTATTGACACAGAACAAGCTCCAACATATACGGTAGGTGAAATGAGCAAGTAAAAGAAAAATACATACTATATAAACCCATTATGTTTACCAAAAACAACCAAAGCTAAATATCTATATGTACAGAAAAATATATACACAGGTATAAAATGTAGGCAGGCACATACACATATATAAAAACTCACTCCCAAAAGGTCTAGAACTCCATTGTCCAATACAGTAATGGTAAGAAAAGAAAACCACAGGCCCTAAGAAGTATCACTTAGATTGAGTTCGCAAACTGAGGCTTAATACCCAAACTTAACTGCAGTTTTAACCCCCCCTGCCCCCCAGAAATGTGGCCTTAACCAGTTAGTCAGGAAATTTTTCTTTCCATCAGTGCCAATAAGTCAGTCATCTGAGTCCTCTCTCCCTCAAAGAAAGATAAGGTACCCTGCATGTAACACCCCTTCCCCTAGAAAACAGCCTGGTCAATCCTTTTCTTTTGCTAATAACTTTCTTAACCCTCCTTCCTTCCTTCTATAAAACCTTTCATTTTATACAACTCTTTGGAGTGCCTCTCTACTAGCTAGACAAGGTGGGGCCCAATGCATAAATTCTTTAATAAAACCAATTAGATCTTCAAATTTATGTGGCCAAATTTTGTTATTTAGCAGTAGACATGAACCACGTGTGGCTACTGAGCATTTTAAATGTTAATGGAACCGAGAAACTGAATTTTAAATTTTTCTGAATTTTAATTACAGTTTAAAAATTTAAATTGAAGCAATATATTTTTTCCATGAAATACAACTTTAGTGTTTTGGTATGATTACATTTTACATAACCTTTTGAAACTATATGATACTACTGTTTCTAACATTACTGACAAGCACAATTCCCTTGACCAAACTTAAGTCAGGCTCCTCTGAGCCCTCTTCTCAACAATGCCTTGAACTTGGCAGCATGCCAGGCCCAGATCTGGCAAGACTCCCCCCAACCTTGATACCTAACCAAACTCTTCATACCTTCACCCCAATCATAACCAAGCTCCTCTCAGTAATTTTTCACTCACTTACTTCCTTATCCTGCCCCTTGGCTATAAATCCCTGTTGTATTAGAAGTTAAATTCATGGGGCACCTGGGTGGCTTAGTTGGTTAAGCGCCCGACTTTCGCTTAGGTCATGATCTCGCAGTTCGTGGGTTCGAGCCCCGCGTAGGGCTCTGTGCTGACTGCCAGCTCAGAGCCTGGAGCTTGTTTCGGAGTCTGTGTCTCCCTCTCTCTCTGACCCTCCCCTGCTCATGCTGTCTCTCTTTCTCTCTCCTAGAAATAAATAAAAATATTAAAAAAAAAAAAAAAAAAGAAGTTAAATTCAATCTCTACCCTCTCCTGCAATAGTTTTGAGTAAAGTCTTCTTGCTTATTTTTACTTATCCAATACAATTTTTCTTGGACTTTACACATAATCACATCACCAATGTAGACAATGTTTTTTTCTTTCTTCTTCTTCTTCTTTTTTTTTTTTTTTTTAAAGTAATCTCTGTACCTAATAAGGGGCTTGAACTCACAAACCTGAGGGTCAAGAGTCACAAGCTCTCCAACTGAGCTAGCCAGGAGCCCTTCCACCAGTGTATTCGATCTTAACAAATAGGTTACATTTGAATGATTTTTTTTTTTCTATGCACTGATGTAACATTTAATGGACTTGTTTGAATATT